GCGCCGGCCCGGCTCGCGGCCGCAGAGCGGACGCCTCGGCGCGCGGGCCTCGGCTTGGCTCTTGGTGCGGGGCAGAGGAAGACCATGCGGCCTCTATATTTAATACTTCTGCTGACGCTTCTGAAATGTTTATGCCACAGAATCTGCTAATATATTGTAACCGTGTTCCTTGGGAGGACGTTGATCATGGTTTGTATGCACTCAAAGCATTTTCTTTCTTTGCCAAATCGACTGTCACGTGCAGCCGCTTCCGGGAACTTTCGTCTCGGGCTGAGTCATCAAGTCATCTTGTGCCCATTGTGGGCCGGCGGAAGCCGCCAGGACGAGCACGAGGTCTCTCTGACAGTGCCTGTGGCTGGTGGGCCGGAGTGGCCGTCCCGGGCCGGGGGTCGCTCTGGCGTCCCGGAGCTGGGGGGAGGGATGGCCTGCGGGGGATGCAGTGGAGGCAGGTCGCTGGAAAGCACAGTGGCTTCGGCGTCTGTTGGAAAGTCCCATGTGTGTCATGGGGTGACAGCCTTGGCGGGGATGACTTAAGCAGAGACCCGGGTGGTTCTCCTGCGCCTGCTCTCGGCACAACCTCATCGTCGCCGTGCCTGTCACTGGAGGGCTGCCCCTGCCTCCTCTCTTGCCTCCACCGTGCAGTGTCACCGAGCCCTTTAAATACTCCCGTCCCCACTTGTCGCCAGGTCTGGGGCCTTATTGATGAGGTCGAGGCCCTGCTGGGCTTGGCTTGCCGGCGCAAGGCTGGTGTCTTGACCATCACTCTGGCCTCGGCCCCCAAGGCGGCCTGGGGGTGTGGTCTGCCCTGGGGCCAGACGGCCTTGTCTGTGGGAAGGCTGGTACCTTCTCTGTTGAGAGCTGCCAGAAGCATCCTTCCCATCCAGGGCGTTACGCTGCCTTTGCTGGAATATCACGTCGAATGAGAGCAAGTACTTATCCCTTGACGCCACACACAGGAGGCGCAGGCGAGCCAGTCTCCTTCCTGGGACATCCAGCGGCTCCTGGATGGCACCGTCCCCACCGTGGCCACTGAGTGCGTGGGTCAGGAGAGTGGTGTCCCTTGCTGCAGGTCACGCGGAAGTGTCTTGGGCTGTGCGGTTGCGGCGATGCGCGTGTTCTTCCGAAGGCACTTCTGTGTGACCCTCTCGCTTCCCATGGTCAGGTTGGGTTTTATATGCACTCGTTGTATCTGATTCCTGTCGCACACCTCATAGTATGATTTTTTTAAATTAAATATTCAGAATAAACTTTTTCTGACCCACTTGCTGCATGGCTTGCCCTGGTCTCAAGTCACTCTGCGCTGCGGCTGGGGGCCCTTTGTGACTGTGCTCCGTGCCCCTGAGCGGCTGCTGAGAACCCTCGTTTCATCACGGGTGTGGTGCACGCTCTGTTCCAGCACTGGGCCAGCCACATGCTCCCTTTACAGAGGCATGCTCCTGCAATCAGGGTGCTGCCACTGGGCGTGGTGGCTCACACCTGTCACCCCGGCACTTTGGGGGGCCGAGACCAGAGGATCACTTGAGCCCAGGAGCTCGAGACCAGCTTGGGCTACACAGTGAGGCCTGGTCTCTACGGAAAATTAAAAAGTTAGCTTGGCGTGGTGGTGTGTGCCTATTGTCCCAGCTACTCAGGAGACTGAGGTGGGAGGCTACGGTGAGTTACGGTGCCACTGCACTCCAAAAGAAAAAAGGAGCTATGTTTCTTTTCTCAAAAAGTGAGACCCTGACTCAAAAAGGAAAGAGAAAAGGAGCTATGTTTCTGATAGACCGTACGTAAGGTTCATAGATTATTTGGCAACCCAATTAACATGTAATAGTGAGTCATATCAGTATTTTGGAAACATTTTTCTGCTGATTGTACGTGTAATACTGACACAGCCAGAGATGACATCACGTTTGGAGCAGGCCACTCTCAGGAGAAGGGTAAGCAGGTGGGTAGATCAGAGCAATTCGTTTTAAGAGGGGAAGAGTAGACACCTCAAAATGGAAGGTTGCGGAGGTCCAGCCTCCACAGAGCAGGGCCTGAGGTGGGGGGAGGGAATGAGAAAGACGAGACAGCGGGATGGGGAGGTCTCTCCCCTCAAAAGGTGAGAGCCTGTTTATTATTTAGCACGCCTCTTACATAGGGCAAAACTGTACAAGGGATTATTGTAAAAACAAGCAGCATCAGCTTTTGGGGCAGGCATCCGGGCCAGGTGTGATTGACGCATGTCGCTTTGCTTTGTTATAAAGTAACAAATCAAGGTTAGGGGAGATGAGCGAACCTCAATGGAATCATGTTGCTATTAGAAGACGAGTAGTAAAGTCTTAGCTACAATAAAGCACTAGGCACACAAAGACGTTTATCTTTGTGTGCCTAGTGCTTTATTGTAGCTAAGACTTTACTATGTTACTCGGATGTGTGGGCATTCAAGACACTGCTTGGTGTCGCAGGCTGCATTCCTCACAGCCTGCCTTTGGCTAGAATGCAGAGCTTCCAGGCGAGACGGTTGCCTGCAAGCCTGGGGTACTGAAGGCCTGCTACAGTGGCAGTGCTTGTCTGCTCCCCACATCACATCTGCTCCGAGATGAGGGAGTTGGGGCTTGGTTCCTTGAACACAAGCCAAGAACACAAGGACCTTGTCAGCTTATGCTCTGGTCTCCTTCAGAAGGTCGCTGCTCGGAAGCTTCCAGAATACTTGTGGAAGCATTTGATCAGCATTTTCCCATGTTTGACAAAATAACTGCAAGAGTCGACATGAAACGTAAACCCACCTCCAAAAAGACCAGACCCAGGCAAAGCAGGTGTCAGGCAGCCCTGGCAGGGAAGCCTACTGCCTCGTCTGCTATCTCCGTGGAGGAGGAAAGGGTCCCCGCTGGCATCTCGAGGAGGGATCGAGGGCAGCCGCAACGTAGAGCAGGGAACACTGACGGGAGGGCGGTTCAGGGCGCCGCATGGATGCGCTGGTGTTCGTCTCTAGGTCTGATCAGGTCGTGGTGTCTGTTGGCTTCTTAAGTCTAGTGCGTTCTAATGATCAACCGTGATGGGTCCACACCCTTTCCACAGTTGGGCCTCCACAAACAGTGAGCCCCAGATCTTAAGGGAGCTGGGCCTGGGAATAAGAGCCGATTCTGTTTCGCCAAGAGCTGGGCATATGCGCGCAAAGCCGCACGTGGCCCGGCGCCCCATGGTGGCCAAGCTCACAAAGTCCCAGTGCGCAGGGGACAGGCGACCTGGGGCCCTGGGAATGGGAGCAGGGTTTGCACCTTCCTCCAGAAACCATTGGGTGCAGAACCCTGGTAGCCTCCAGGATGAACAGTGTTACAGGAAAGTCACATGGGAAAACTGGTGACACGCCGGATTTTTTTTTTTGAGTCGAGTCTCGGTGTCCAGGCTGCGTGCTGTGGCACGCTCACGGCCACCGCAGCCTCAAATCTGCCGGGCTTAGGTAGATCCTTCTGCCTCAGCCTCTCGAGTAGCTGGAACCACAGGTGCACACCACCACGCCCGACATATTTTTTGATTTATTGTTGAGACGAGATCTCGCCAAGTTGCCCAGGCTGGTCGCAAACCTGTGGACTCAGGCAGTCCTCTCACCTCTACCTCCCAAAGTGCTGGGATGACAGGTGTGAGCCACTGCGCATGGCTTTCACTCTGGATTGTGCTCTCAAAAGAACACCAAGCCCAGGCGTGTTGTGAGCAAGTTCTGCATGGTGAAAGACAAGGCCTGACTGACAGACGGTACCAGCGTCCAGAACAACACGGCAAGTTCTCGAACTATTTCGAGAGGCTCTTCCACGCTGGTCCTGGGCAGGATGGCCAGCTTGCAGGTACCTAATGGCGCCATTTGTGTACACATGATCAAACCTCCCCTCCTGCCCCCGGGAAGGTTGGGACTAGGCCCGGGGCCCAATGGTTTATTCATTTTCAACTTTCCCTACTTTGGGGGGTGTGGTGTTCCCCTCCCCCCAGTTTCTCCCTGTGAGTGAGCAGAGTCCCAGAACCCTGGACGGGACCTGGAGGCTTGAGCAGGGGTCCCGCCGTCCTGGACCCCAGCCCTGCCCAGCTCCAGGTGCGCGGGTGACGGCTTCTTACCGGCGACAGGAGCCCGCCCACCCTGCCAAGGTCTCCCTGTGGGAGTCCAGCCCTGCCCCATCCTCCCGTCCCCGTCCCCCATCACACTCGGGGGTTCCCACTCCTGGGGGCTGCCCACAGGTGTCCAGTTGTTCTTCCAAAAAGATGCCTGCACCCTCATGTCCACCACAGCCCTGTTCACGCACGCAGAGGTGAAAAACCAGCAGTGGTTTTTTTTTTTGAGTTGGGGTCTCACTCTGTCACCCAGACTAGAGTGCAGTGGCCGCTCCCGGCCACCGCAGCCTCGACCTGCTGGGCTCCAACGAGCCTTCCGCCTCAGCCTTCCGAGTAGCCGGAATTACAGGCGCGCGCTACCACGCCCGGCTGATTTTTTTATTTATTGTAGAGATGAGGTCTCGCTGCCCAGGCGGGTCTCGAACCCGCAGGCTCAGGCAATCCACTCACCTCAGCCTCCCAAAGGCGCAGGAAACTGTTTTTTAAAAAAAATTGTTGGTAGGTTCACATAGAGTTGACCGCAGTCACCACTTTTAAGTGCACAGTTTAGCAGCACGAAAGACATTTGCCCCATTGTACCCCCATCAGCGATATCCTCCGCCAGAGTGTTTCTACACTATGTGATATTTTCT